TGACGGGAGGCGCGGTCCTCTCGAGATCGAGCGGTCCGGGTTCGAGCCCTGGCCGGGGACATTGCATTATGTTGTTGGGTAAGACGCTTTTCTCTCACAGTGCCTCTCTCCACCCAGGTGTATAAATGGGTACCGGCGAGCTTAATGCTGGGGGTTAACCCAGTGATGGACTAGCATCCCATCCAGGGGGGAGTAGAAATACTCCTAATCGCTTCATGCTACAGAAACCAGGATAAGCTCCGGCCTACCTTGCCCTTAACACACTGCCCTTAACACACTGGCCTATTAGTTGAATTTGCCACTTACCTAAGAAGGGCGCTGCGGTTTTTACGTAAACAACAACAAATTGCTTCGTTCTCGTCCTCCTCTGGTATTACGTAAGGGCGATTTTCAATTGTGTAGTAAAACCAAAACCAAAATTATCACTTTCACCAATCACAGAAAACACAGACCATCCAGCGAACAATCAAAATTCGAAGCAAACACTTGTAGCGGGCGCAAAGCGCGGGAAAACGGTTTTGGCTTTACTTCTGATTGGCTGAGAAAGTAACGTGAGTTTTAGACCTAAAACTAAGCGGTGTGATGCAGAACCAAAGCAAAATGCAAATTACTTTAGACACTGAAGTGAAAACTGCCCTAGCTAAATGGTGACACTGAAACAATCTTTAATATCGTTAATGTCATTTATTTTAGATGCGAAATCTACAGGATCATTCAAACTTCACCTAGGAGAAATTAAGGTGACTGTTTCATTATACCTTGTTTCCTCATTTAACAATCTTCGTGTAACTGTCCGGCAAAATAAATGAATACCCACAAAGTTGAGCAATACTGACCCGAAAATGTTTAGTTCGCAAGGAGTAATCCGTCAAATTCTCCCGCTTTTTATATCTTCCCGTTTCCTTTTACAGTAAAGGCACTTGAACTATGAACACTCGACACTTTGGTACGCTTTTTTCTTGGCGGCTGTCGAATGAAGGCTCTTCATATACTGTTAAAGATAGTCGTTTTTACTGTGTTAAAACGCTAAACGTTATTGTTAGTACGAAGAACCCTCATTCTTTAGTCACTAAAAAAATTTTCCAAAAAAAATAGTCAAGTGTTCACGATTCGAGTCTCCTCCTTCTCTCACGATTCCTTACTGTAATTATAGTACATACTACATACTATGTACTTTATTTCCTCATAATTTTCCTTTATCTCCCCACAATAGTTGCCATTTGCTTGATGCCTTTGAACGTTCGTAAATATAGTTTTCCAAATGTTTTATATTCGATTAAATCTCTCTCTATTTTGGCTGATATCCACGGCCACACTGGCACTCGTTACAAGGTGTATTCCACCCGTGGAACGTCTTTCGTGTGAAATGCATATCGGGACATACAGAAAAGGGTGCTTAATTGGAAAATTTTAGCCTAACAGGCTCTTATACGCGGATTTTCACTGTATCTTAAACATCGGCATTCTGCTTTTTCAAACTGTCGAATAGTAAAGTTACTCGAAAATAATGGCGGAGATCTGAAAGTCTGGCTAAAGTTATCGAAATACAAGATGTTTTCACTGATATTCCGTATGGCAAGTCCAGTTTCGTTCTTCATCCAGCTGATCTTACAAACTCCTCTAGACGTAAAGAACAGCTTCACTGGCGAGTATTGACAATTGTTATGGCAGTTTTCTGATCTTCATATGGCAGAAAGATTATTTTATCCTGTTGAGAGTCAAAAAGGTAGAGAGTGTATGAAACGTTTCTTTACAAACGTGCCTGGTCTCGTCTTGTCATCAAATAGTGAAAGAAAATTGTAAATGGAGGTTCCACTCTGAAAGCGCATCAAGTGTTTTCCGTCCACACTACCCCAGAGGAATTTGTAAACCCAACAATCACCGCTCATTTTGGATTTTTGTTTGAGGAAAACTCGGCCAGGGAAATCACGTGATTATCGTGACGCCATTGTTTTCGAAAAGCTCTGTTTTCAAAATTTTACTGTTCACCCGAACTGAAACGAAAAGCCGTCGTTTTCAAATAGCTCCGGTTTGAAGAGCGTTTTCGAAAAGCTCCCTTTTCGTGATGGATTAGTGTGAACGGTAGGCCTAACCATAGAAATAAAGCTGCGTTTTAAAACTACTTCGGCGTACTGCGGACGCTGCCTAAGGCCTGGGGAAAACGTCGAATCCGAGTCGCGTCGAATAAATTAGAAATAGGTGCGACAAAGAGTCGACTTAATTCCAGCGTGGTAGCAAACGTCGAACCTGCCTCGATCCTATTTCACAAGTTGCACTCCATTAAAACACGGGAATAAGCACATGTCCCCGTGTTACTCACTCGATGCGCGACTAGTTACTGCTAGGACTTGCTAGCGAAATGCCGATACTCTTCTCTTCAGACAACGGTAGACCCGGCGCGGCTC